AATTGTGGTAAATCCATAGGTAATAAAAACATTTGCCATTCCCACAATCTTCACACGTACACATTGCCTAATTTTCTTTTTGAAGAAAAATGTAAGCCTCTCAAATAGTTAAAATCTGAGATAAGCTCTGTAGGAAATTATCAAGGCTGAATTGAAAGCATTTCATAGGTGGGGAAACTGAGGCACTGAGTCCGGTGACGCTCAGTGGGGCTCAGAGGAACGAGCCATGCATCCCTGCTTCCCAGGAACTTAGCAGAGAATCAAGACTTCTATAAATCTAATTGTTCTCCTGCTTAAAATGTTTCCAAAGGTTCTCCACTGCCTCTTGGATTCAGTTCAACCTCCTTGGCGCAGCATCTGAGACCTTCTGTGATATGACCCTTTGGCCTCACCATCAGGCTCTTCATCTTGCACCAGATGCTTAACTCGACTTGTCGTGTTTCAGCTGGGCTGCTTCCTTCACCCTGTGCCAGGAGCACCCTCCTGCTCCTCCTTCCACTTGGCCAGCTTGTTTCCTCCCTCCTCCAGTCTCAGAGCAGGGGCTTTTCTGGGAGTGCCTCTGTGCACACGACTGCTCCCAGTGTGAGTTCCTGCCTCCCTGTACCTCACTGCTAAGCCACTCATTTGCCTCTGTTTCCGACAACTCATTGATAGCAGAGGTTGCATCTCAGGCATTCTTGAATCTCTGTGCCCAGCATAACGCCTGACACATACTTGGTGTTGTCATGTTCAATGAATAAAAAGAAGACAGGTGGGCAGAACATCATGGAGGCCAAAGAGATTCTGGGCTCAAAGGAAAAGGAAAGCATAGCCAGTGGGGACCAAGAAATGCCCTGAGTTGAGGAAGGTCTTTATGCAGAACCAACAGCTATCTCTCCACTTTGTCCTTGCTCCAGACCTCCACGGGCACCAGGGGACTGAGTCCTGCCCCAACCCTCATGACAGGTTTAAGCACAGGCCTGTGTCAGAAGCCTGGTCAATGAGACAGGAAGACAAGTCTCTTGGGACTTCTGGGAGACATTTCCTCACTCTTAAACTGAGACTTGGGAGTGAAACAGGCCCTTATCAAACTTAGGACCTTATTGCTTGTTCCATGTGACACTTGGACCCACAGCAGCCACTTTGGTCCCTGGGGAAGGTCAGCCTAAGAGGAAAAGGGGATGGCCATGTGGAAAGCCAGACAGACCCACCACTCTTCACAATGCTAGTGAGCTGCTGAATCAACCCACCCAGATACTGCAGAACCTCACTATCCTCGTTGCTTAAGCCACATGGAGTTGCTTTTCTGTTACTTGCACCCCAAAGCATTCTAGTCATCACAGCTTTGAAGACTGGACTGGGTTTCCACAGGTAGAGGCCAGGCAGGACAACACCTGAGACGGGGGAGCAGCATGGGCAGGGGTGTGGAGCAGAGAGCCAAGCAGTGGGTCCAGCTCAGCCAAAACACACTGTGGATAACTGGGAACAGAGGGCACCGGGTGGCTTTCCTAATGCCATTTCAGTGCACTTTCTCCCCATCATCACTCCTCTATTAGATCTGTTCGGAACATGCATGTTTTGTTCTTGTGCCTTGAGGTGACTTAATAAAGGCTGGGATTTAAAGAGGGGGGAAGAAGGCTAAGTAAATAAATAGCACTCTACTCTTGGCCTTGGACAACAGAGCAACCGTCCTAATTTCTTTTTGTCAGAATAGAGATAATCCAATAATTAGGGCAGCAAATAGCATAACCCTGGCTAAAGCCATAATGAACCATCTGGCTTAAATCATTTAGGCTTATTCTAGGTATCTGGCTGTCAAAGCTGAAAGGGAAGCATGGCCTGGGGTGTTTGGGTGGGTAAGGGGGTGGTCCTGCCCCAAGACCTGGTCCCCCCAAGAGCAGGAACCAAGATCTCTGCACACCCACATCTAGGAGCTGATGGGATCTAAGTCCAGGGTGGGCTACCACTTGAAGAGGATGAGGGTGCCAACCTGGCCTTGGCTCAGCCACATACCCTCCTCCTTAGTTGTTCTCTGGGCCCTCTTTTAATATTGTGTGGTGTGTCTGGGTGATATGGGGATGGCCAGGCCACAGTTTAAGCTGGCAAAGGACAGCCTTGTACTGCTGACCCCACGCAAGCCTGTTGCCTGCCAGGATCCAGCCTCGTTCCCCTTTGCACCTCCCTGCTCCTGGGGCAGTGCTCCATGAGAATGCTGAGTGGAAGGGAGAAAAGGCAGCTGGACCCAAGGCGGGCCTTTCTGGTCTCCTTGTCTGTGAGTTCAGGGACAGCCGAAGATATGCTCAGATTTCTCACCTCTTGGCTGTGTCACCTGGAGGGCCCTCTGTGCCACAGAGAGCATGAAGTCCTGCCCTGCCTCCCTCACTCCCTCGATGCAGCAGAAAAGATGCTGCAAATGGGTACAACTTCCTACACCTTCTTCTGGGGATGGATACGCATTCAGGACAGCCAAGGGGTGACTTTGGTTATAGCTAGGGCCTGCCAGAGGCTGCGTAAGTGAGGGGGTGCACTTTGCTCCAGGTGCCAGGAGCTGGGGGTGAGGAAAGTCCAGGGCATAGCCCTGAGGGCTGTAAGTTCTCCAGACCCACTTTCCCCAAGCTGGCAGGAAAGCGGAGGGGGGAGAGCTGCTCCCCACCTCCCACGCCCACGGGCAGGGCCTCACGATGTCCAGTGCTGCACAAAGGCCTAGAGAAAAGTGCAGAGCAGGAGGTTTTCCCACACAGGCCAGGCTCTGACCCGCTGCGACTATGGCTCTTCCTGACCCTTCCTAGGTAGGGAGAGTAGGGGTCTGCGCCCCTGAGTAGCACAGGTAAGGACCCACCTTCAGCTTCTAAAAGCACATTTTAGGCTCCGGGAAACTCTCAGCTCTCGGCTCCCGTGAGGGGCCTCACCAGCGGTGGCCAGCATCGCGGTGCGGAGGAGAGCGCCTGGCAGCCTTGGCGAAAACCCTGAGGGACACCCCACCCCCACCCCAGGGCCACATCTCCCGCAGGCCTGCGGTTTGACGCTAGGTTTCCAGGTCTGAAAGAGACGCAACTAGGGCCACAGCTGGGCTTCGTGTCCTGCGCGCAGCGTCCCCTGGATCCCCACGCCAACACACGCAAACCGATTCCGCACCGGGCCGCGACCTCTTCCCGCCAGGCCTTAGTCGGGCGGGGCTGGCAACCCAGGGACGCGAAAAGGTGCCAGCAGCGTCCCCCTACCGGGCCTCGGCCCTGGGGACCCCGGCACTCGCCCGCTCCCCGGGACTCAGAGCTCAATCCAGGAGGAGGGGGCGCGGGCTGGGGGACTCCTCCGGCCCCGGGGAGCAGGCGTAACAGGTGGGCGAGGTCAGCGGCCCGAGCGCGCCGAGGCGGGGTCCACGGACGCGAAAGGAGGCACCGCCAAGGTGTTTCCAAAGGACAAGCGGCTCCGGGATCCTCCTGGTCCTCGGCCCGCGCGCCAGCAAATCCGCCGGGCTCTGCGTACCGCCGGGCCCACCCGGGAGGCTGGCAGTGTCCTAACCCGGGACCCTCTCCCCCGGCCGGGGGCCTGGCCCCGACATGGCTTGCTGGGCGGAGAGCGACCACGCGGCCGGCAGCAACTGGTGTCTCCCCCGGGCTCAGCTCCGCCTTTCCTGGGAACAAAAGCCGCCGCCCGCGCCGGAGCTCCCGGCGGGCGGGCCGAGAGGGGGTGCGGCGCTAGCTCTGGGGAGCCCGACCCCGGAAATAGGACACCCGCAGGGGGCGCCCACAAACTTCCCACCTCTCCAGTCTGGGCAGTGGGGTGTCGGGCTGGGTCTGCAGGGTGCGCGGGGAGCGCACGGAGGAGGCGAGGGGGCAGCCCCTGGGCGTGGGTGTGCGCCGTGCACGCCGAAAGAAAGCAGAAGGGATGAGAGGGATTCAGGGGCCGGGTGAGGGCGAGGACAGCACCCGCGGGAGGAGAAGAGCCGAGAAGTCGGTGAGTTGGAAACTTACTGCAGTCGTCGGACTCGTAGCCGTCGGCATCCGGCTCGTCCTCAGGCGGCTTGGCTGGCGGCCGCGCGGGGCTGGGGCCGGGGCTAGGGCCCGGGCTGGTGCCGTAGGCTCCGAAGAGTTGGTCGACATCCTCTTCGTCGTCG